TCTCTCCTTGCATTATTATATATATATGTATGTATATGTACATACATATATATACAATATAGTTTATATATTTTATACATATTGTAAATATAATTATCAATATAAATATGTACAAGTAATATGACCTTTTCCGGATCAAAGTTTTTCATACTTTCTTTTAAAAAACAACATTATTTATACACATATTTACATACCTTCTTTATTCGATTTTTCTTCTTTCTCTCTTTCTCTTTTTTCTTCTTTACTTCTTTTTACTTCTTTCTTAACACACTACTATGTAATACGAAAGAGTAACAAATAGGTTATGGATGACGAAGCGCTCGAGCGCTACGCTACCTAACTTAACCTAACCGCGAATATATCGGAACGCACCATCCTATCAGCATCGCAGAAAAGGAGGCTTCAACATTTCGATATATTCGAGTTATCGACTTAACATGCACTATCATTTTAAGATAGGATAAGGCTTGAAATCAATTCTTAATTTACATAAATCGTAAAATATCTTGTAAAAAATTGATTTTTCGATCATCTTCCCTTAATACTTTTATGTACAAAATAATGAGAGGAATCAATTGATGTAAAGAAAACACATAATTGTTTTGAAGAAAAAATATGTAATTTGCAATTAACAATTAAATATTTTTTCTTAAAAATAACTATATGTAATATGTGTTTTCTTTACACTAATTGATTCCTCTCATTATTTTGTACATAAAAGTATTAAGGTAAGATAATCGAAAAATGAATATGACTTACAAAAACTTAGCGTGCTAAGGTCGTATTAATCTATAATTACATGTATATAAAAAATTAATTACATATATATAATTCCCAAACTTTGTAAAATTATGTATATTTGTAAATTTGTAAAATTATGTGTATTATAATGTGATCCAAGCACGCCAAATTTTTGTAAGTCGTTTTGATCTTAATTTTCTTAGTTCCGAATTTACTTGGCAAAGCTTATGATCAATTTCAAAATTAAATATTTCATAATAATAAAAATGCGTAAATTGTAATACAACTCGGGTAAAATTTTTGTATGTAACTTTTTTTAAATCCCTTTAAATCCTTATATCCAATTCCAGGTCTATTTAGTAAAACTTATGATCTTAAAACAAGTCAATTAAGTTTTCTTTTTTAAATTCAAAATTGGCGATCGATGTTAATACACAATCGATGTTATTGCAGTAAGTGTTAAATAGTTTTATGACTTACTATTTGTAATCTAATATAAAATCCGCAATATATTAGTGATATTTCATATATTGTACAAAAATTTATTTGGATCACACATAATAATGTATTTTTATATATCATACAAAGTATTAAACTTATTTTCAAAATATTTTTCATTTTGTCGAGAATCTATAATACATAAATGCAAGATAGAATTTCTGATAAATTTATTTCAAATTACAAATCCTATCAATTGCTTCAATGTACTTGGCTAGTTAATTATTAATTTCATATTTAGTTTTGATTTTTTTTAGGAAAATTATATATTTTTTGAGGGAAAATTTTTATAAATTATTTTAAAATTTTTATAAATTATTTTTATTTAAGATATTTTTTTATTGAACGTTTTGTTTTATACAAGGTGGAATATTTTTTATGTACTTGGCGTACTTTTTTTACCTTTATAAAATCTTTTTCAGACTGATTTCACACCTTCTTGTAAAATTTATATCTTCTCTGCAAAAAATATACAGCGTGTGTCAAAAGTTCCCGGACGGCTGGATAATTTGAAAAATACGCATCACAGAGGAAAATGACCTAGACAAAAGTTGTAGGATTTTTCCTGGGCAATCCGACGGTGACCTTAGATTTGACCTTGGATAGTCATTTGAAGGTCACATAAAGATTACCTTCAATTTCTTAAATGGAACCCCCTATTTTTCATTACATATTCTTGTAGCTTATCTCGAGAGCTTTCCAAAACACTATAATTAAGTACCTTTTTATTAAGTACTTTTTGAGTTATAAGGCTTGAAATAATTTCTTAATTTTACATAAACCATAAAATATCTAGTAAACCATTCATTTTTCGATTATCTTACCTTCATACTTTTATGTACAAAATAATGAGAGGAATCAATTGGTGTAAAGAAAACATACAGTTGTTTTTAAGAAAAAATATGGAATTGTTAATTGCAAATTACATATTTTTTCTTAGAAACAACTATGTGTTTTCTTTACACCAATTGATTCCTCTCATTATTTTGTACATAAAAGTATGAAGGTAAGATAATCGAAAAATGAATGGTTTACTAGATATTTTATGGTTTATGTAAAATTAAGAAATTATTTCAAGCCTTATAACTCAAAAAGTACTTAATAAAAAGGTACTTAATTATAGTGTTTTGGAAAGCTCTCGAGATAAGCTACAAGAATATGTAATGAAAAATAGGGGGTTCCATTTAAGAAATTGAAGGTAATCTTTATGTGACCTTCAAATGACTATCCAAGGTCAAATCTAAGGTCACCGTCGGATTGCCCGGGAAAAATCCTACAACTTTTGTCTAAGTCATTTTCCTCTGTGATGCGTATTTTTCAAATTATCCAGCCGTCCCGGAACTTTTGACACACGCTGTATATGCATTTTTAGCATTTCGATTTCCAACTACACTTTTGTATTACTAAATTATTTATTAATTGGTTCGGTACTTTTAGTACGTACAATGTTTGTGTAATGTCCATCGATTATATTCTTACCTTCATGAAAAATTCCTAATAACTTTCTACGTATTCGCACCAATACATATGTTTTCCGTAGGTATTAAATTATTTTTTCCCTTTTAATTCCTGTATACTATATTACTATATATTACAAGTCAAAATTATTATTGATTTAATTAACAGTTTTTATCATTACATATTTATTATTATATATTTCATCATTATTGCATTATTCTTTACTATAAAATAAAATTTTGTTTCACGTATAAAGAATCAAAGAATGTTTCTGAAGTTCAGATTTAATTGAATGATAAAACATGTTGCAATTCTGTCATTGTATTACATCTTAAAATTGAAATTTAACTATTACTAGATCTAAAAGAAAAAAAAGAAATTAAAAATTAGAAATAACTTAAACAAATGTATGTAATAAGTAAATAATAATAATATAATAATTACCATAAAACTTTGTTGTGTATCATTACAAATATTAATACGACGGGTTGCCTGCTCATAAGAGCGCAAGGCCGATAATGGAGGGAGATAATACAGATCATTCACGTGCATTTTCGATGAAGTAGTATACTAGCTGTCAACGCTATCAACTATAAGCTGTTAGAAGAAAAAATTAAATTGCACAGAATAGTGAACTTGTGACATGAATATTTGAAAGTATACGAGGGGTGTTCAAAAAGAAAGGTGACTTTTTATTTTTCTCGAAAAATATTTATTTATTCATCAATATCTATTTTGTCCCCTTCAAAGTAATCCCCTTCAGATATTATACACTTGTGCCAGCGCTTTTTCCAATCCTCGAAGCACTTTTGATATGTGCTTTTTGGTATGGTCTCGAGCTCTTCCAGCGATGCGGTCTTTATCTCCTCAATCGTGGCAAATCTCCGTCCTTTCATGGGTCTTTTCAGTTTTGAGAACAAGAAAAAGTCGCAGAGGGCCAAGTCCGGTGAATACGGTGGCTGAGGCATAGTTACGGTGTTGACTTTGGCCAAAAAATCACGAACAACGACGTGTGAGCTGGCGCATTATCGTGGTGCAATATCCATGACTGGTTCTTCCACAATTCCGGGCGTTTTTTTCGTATTGCTTCACGTAAACGGTGCATAACTTCAAGGTAATATTTCTTATTGATCGTACGACCGCATGGCAAGAACTCACGATGCACCACGCTATTGTAATCGAAGAAAACAGTGAGCAAAACCTTCACATTTGACCTAACTTGACGAGCTTTTTTCGGTCTTGGCTCTTCTGGCCGCTTCCATTGGGATGATTGGGCTTTGGTTTCGACGTCATATACCCATGATTCGTCACCAGTTATGACCCTTTTGAGCAAATCTGGATCGTCGTTGACGGCATTCAACAGCTCCTGAGCAATGTCTACGCGACGTTGTTTTTGGTCGAAATTCAGCAATTTCGGAACAAACTTCGCCGCCACACGTTGCATGCCCAAAACATCCGAAAAAATTGCATGGCATGAGCCAACCGATATGCCGACATCCTCAGCAACTGCTCTAATAGTGATTCGACGATTCTCCATAACAATTTTCTTCATTGCTTCGACGTTGTCATCGGTTGTTGACGTGCTGGGGCGTCCAGGGCGGGTATCGTCATTAACATCTTCTCGACCTTCTGTGAAGAGCTTGTACCACTTGTAAACATTTTTTTTGCTCAGAGACTCGCCAAATGCCGCAATCAACATTTCAAGTACGTCAGAGCACTTAATTTTATTTTTCACACAAAATTTAATACAGATTCTTTGATCCATTTTTTTCGATAGCAAAAAATCGCCAAGCACATCAAAACACGTCTAAAGGTACGTTTTCATGGTGTCGCTTGTCGCTCATATTTAGCGACAAATGAGTCACGTGATTTCATATGTCGCTGACTTCGACTGTCGCTCGTGTAAATGGGCTAGCGATATTTTTGACGATTATTTGACTTGTGTCGTGTGAAATAAATATTTCAAAATGTCATATGAAGAAAGATACCACGAGTGGACCTGTCAACTTGCCGCGATTATGCACAATAAAAATGAGGAGGAACGACGACGAAATAGACTAATAGCAGCTATATGCATTAATGAATGTATAAATTTAAAAAAAAAATATAAAAAAAAGAGATTTTGGATTGATCCATTATTTGAAAAACGACGTGAACATGGATTTTATTATGCATCTGTACCGAGACTAACGCCAGAGAAATTCCGGAATTATTATCGTATGACAGCTACACAATTTGAGGAATTGTTATATTTAGTAGCACCTGCAATCACTAAACAAACTGTAATTAGAGAACCGTTACCACCTGCAGAGCGATTGTCTATAACATTGAGGTTTATTTGTCTTTATTTATAATTGAATTACTTTAATTATTAAATAATATTTGATCTAATTATTTATTGTTAGATATTTAGCAACTGGTGATTCAATGCATTCGATGTCATTTCATTATCTCGCTGGAGTATCAACAATAAGCCATGTTATAGGTGAGACATGTGATGCTATATGGAACTCTATTCGTCAAGAAATTATGCCATCATCAAAAACTACAGAGGAATGGTTATATCTTGCTAAAGAATTTCAAGAGAAATGGGATTTCAATCACTGTATAGGAGCAATTGATGGTAAACATGTTGTTATTGAGGTAATGTTATCTGATCAATGGTATATTTATCATTGAAATTACAAGTTTGATGCTTATATGATTTTTTCCCAGTGTCCACCTAACGCAGGCTCGTCCTATTATAACTATAAAAACAGTCATAGTATTGTGCTTCTCGGAATCTGTGACGCGCAATATATGTTCACATTTGTCGATATTGGAGCCTATGGTCGCCGCAGTGATGGTGGTATTTTTAAAGATTCAAAGATGGGTTTAAAATTCAATTCAAAGGAAATGAATGTACCTGCACCAGAACCTTTCAGCCCAGGTGGACCATCTTTGCCATATGTTCTGGTGGGCGATGAAGCCTTTCAATTGACAGATTATTTGATGCGGCCTTATCCAGGAAAAGGCGGTTTAAACGACGAGCGAAATATTTATAATTATCGATTGAGTCGAGCCAGGAGAACAATTGAAAATACGTTTGGTATCCTAGTCAGCCAATGGAGAATTTTGAAACGACCAATCAATTGTAGCATGGAAAAAACAATTTCAATTGTGAAAGCTATGGTATGCCTTCATAATTGGATTCGTCGGAGAGATATTGATGATGGAGAAAATCAATATGTTACTCCAACACTAATTGATCAGGAAGATGATGACAACTTTGTTCCAGGCTCTTGGAGAGGTTGCATAGATAATAGTGTATAGTAATATTTTAATAGTGAAGGTGCTATACCTTGGCAATTCCATCGTTGTTAGTTCTTAAAATTATATTGTATAAAGTTGTATAATAATATAATGTATATTATAATTGTATATCTACATATTATATTTTTATATATTCATATGTAATTTGACTTGAAATATAAAATATCAGTAGAATTAATTTAAACTTTATTAGAAATATATATAAACTTTATTATAAAGATACATAAACTTTATCATAAACATACATAAATTTTATTATAAACTTTATTATATATATATAATTATGACTGAAACAATACAATTAAATAATAGAATAAAATGAACAAATCAAAATTAAACATTAAATAAACAAAATCAAACTGAATGTTCTTCTCAGAAAAATAAAAGAATATAGACTTATTCAATAAAACTCTTCTTCTTTAAGTATATCATAAGTTAGGATCATTATTTGTTGAATAGCATATAATTGATTCTTTCGATTCATCTGTCTCAACCTACTTCTAATAATTGCTACAGTAGATTCAATTTCATCAGGTTTGGGTGCTGGCGGTATCACAAATGGAGTTGGTAGCTGACAGAGTCAGCAATTCTTTCTAGTGCGCTAGACTGCTGTCCCGAATTCCTTTTTCTTTTAATTGGCGCACCTGCAATTTATTGCTGTTATTTATTATTATTGTATTAATTATTTTATTAGTTTTTTATTATTAATTTTTATTTAATTATTATGTAGGTCAAGTACCTGATGCTTTTAACTCTGATTGATCATTGTCATCGCCAATTGCATCACCATTACTTATTGAATCATTAATACTTGAAGAATTATCAACGTCAATATTAGAAGCTTTTCCTCTAGAAATATAAAAATTACAAGTCAGAAACAAAACAGTTCGAAAGTATACATAATCAAAATATTTAATTTAATACCTTTTGACAAGGTACATGTCACGTAGAAACTCCATAGAATCGTAATGATGCCATTTTTTTGTAGGGGGAGGTCTAGCCGATCCACTAGGGTGATTTTCGGAGTGAATAATTCGTCGGTAGGCGTCGTGTAAATTTAAACATTTTTTTTCGCTTCTTCCCCGCTAAGTTTACCTGTAAGAGACAATTTTTTAAAGTATTTTAGCCACGAATGTTTTTAATATTCTCTTTACCTCCTATTGCTTCAGATACTTCATCCCACAGTTTTTTTGTCAATCGTTGACATCGCTGCTCTAATGGAACAGTGAAATCCCAGAGAGGTCTTCTTTCTTGTACGGATAAAATTAAAAGTTCTTCATCATCGTAATTTAACGTTGATTTTATGGCTCTTCGATTATCACTTTTATTGATAGACCTTTTATTTGTCCCCTGTGATGTTTCTTTGTTTACTTCAGAAAGTATTATAGTTCCTAAAATCTATTTTATTAGAAAATAGTAAATGCAGACTTAGGGCCGGTTGTTCCAACTTCTAGTAAGTTTTCTCCGATATAAGATAGCATAATTTCATCTCTTTTTTAGAATTTATCTGAAAACTTACCAAGAAGTTGAAACAATCGGCTCTTATTACAACTTTCAGGATTTCAATCAATTTCTATTTACCTCGAATATTTTCACGAACCGGCAAGACGACTTCTTTGTTGTTAATAAGGCTTCGTCGAATAATGCTATTATCATCTACAAATAATAGTATAAATGTTAGTAGAAAACTATTTTTTTCGATAATAAAATATAAAAACTAAGTTAATATATACATATTATACCTGTTACAGGATAGAAGTACAAATTTTTATCAACAAACAGTCGGGTGTATCCTTCCACACAACCATGAGTCGGAATATTTTCTTTATCAACGATTACTTCACAAATTCCACAAGTCTGTACAAGAGCTATCTGAAAATATCATAAAATTATCGCAATTTTAACAATCTACTGTACACAGTTAATGGAATGTGTGATCACAGTTAACCTCAAAATTATAACAAATTAGATCACTACTAATCGTTTATTGTTATCATTTTCGATTTTTTAATCTCAGTATTTTAATCTAATAAATTTATTTATTTATTTATTTATTATACTTACATCTTCTTCCTTGTTCGAACTCATTTTCTTTTCAAATTTATCATATATGTGAAAGCAAGCGACGTCGCTAAAAGTTGGGTTCAATCCAACTTTACAGCGGCGTCGCTGGCGACAAGAAAAGGAACAAACTAGTGGGGAATTCAGTCACGTGACCACTTATCGCTGCGACACGCGACACCATAAAATTGTACCTTAACCCTTATATCTGTGAAAAACAAACCAAACATGCAGAACAGCTGATAATGTCAACATATGTTGGGGACATGTGTACCAACATAACAAAAAAAAAATTCGAAAATCGAATGTACGTAGCCCGCGAAATTTGAAAAGTCACCTTTTTTTGAACACACCTCGTATATTTAAAAGAATATGATAATATTATAATATTATTATTATTAAACAACATAATAATTTAGTATCGAGCACTAAGAGCCCATAAACGCGGATGGTAATGCGTAAATTTTTACGAACATTAATTGTTCGCGAAAAAATTTTTTAAGACATATGCATATATGCCAGGTTATAGATTCTCTTGGTTTGAGACTTCTATAACAACCCCTTTTACCCCCCTGGAGAGATGTAGATATGTATTATTATTATTATTATATAACTTTTAACATTATATATCAATAATCCTCATCTACATATAATTGCAATAATATTATAATATTATAATATTATTATAATATTATTACTATAAAATAGAAATATTTTTTACACAATCACTACGGTATAATTAAAGAAACTAAATTGCTATTAACATAAGCTATTAGCCAAAGAAGATTACAATACTGCATTTCGCAGTAATCTAAGAGAATATTTTTCGGAACAGTCCTATTCATTATACTAATCCATAACGTGCTTTGACAAAATAAGTCCCGTTACATCCATTGTTTTTGGACAATTCGAGGGAAATATTCCTAGATTACTGCAGAATGCAATATTGTAATCTTCCTGTTTGGTGTGTCGATTGTAAAATGATATCAAGCGACGCGGTAGCGTCGCGACGCCAAGTACATAAAAAAAGAATTAAACATTGAGAGTCACTGTTTTCGACTGAAAGTCACTGTCCTCGACTCGCTACCAAGTACCTTATCCGGAATTTTGGGTCTAAGAAACTTTCAATTAAAATATTTTAAAAACTAAAGCCGTAATCATAAATCTAACGATACTTTTATAACATAATATGTATACAAGCTTTCGATTGCGACCAGTTTGAATAAGATTGGTGCAGTCAATCCCGAGAAATAATGACCGCATATCAGAAATGTAACATTTTATCGTTTTCCTTCATTTCCAGGTTCAGACTTCACGTACATATGCTCGCACGTATACACGCAAAGCAAGTTTGTCCCTCAAGGCGCGTTTGCAACGTTCATGTATGATTATTCGTTCGAGTGTGCAAATACGCCTTGAGAGACAAAATTATGTGTGTATATGCGTAACATTGTGCGTTAATTTTTTACTTAAATATCATATCATATTAAAATGCAATACCATAATATATTAAAACGTAATACAAGTAGTATTCTCGTCAAGATGAAGCGCGTATCTTGGCAGGAAGCGCGCATTACGACTCTTTGACCGACAATTGGTTCTTGGTTAAGTCGGATGCGTAAATATCTCAGCGCAATAGATCTGGCGCGTGATTGGTGGCCGGAGTACCACGTGGTACTCCGGGCCCCAGGATAGGAAGAGGGAGGTGAGTGCGAGATGAGAACAAACTTAGCGAGATAAAGATTTATTATGTATACTGGATATTAAGTTATATAATAGTACTGATATACTAAGATAATATATCTTAGTATATCAGTACCATTATATAACTTAAGTATATCCAGTATACATAATAAATCTTTATCTCGCTAAGTTTGTTCTCATCTCATAAATTAAAATACTAGCATTCACAAAAAATTATATTGAATTACATAGATACATCTTCATGCATATTATCTCATCATTATATCATTATGTATAAAAAACAGAAATTATCATTGTTAATTATAATAAATAATAATAATAGGATAACAATAATAATAATGGTAATCATTTTACTTATTTAAAGATATTTATTTTGAATCGTTCAAAATTCCTTTAATACATTAAACCTCAAAATTAATACTGATAATAAGATATTATATATTATATCACAGTAATTATATCATTAATGAATAAAAATTATAAGCACAAAATAAGCAGAAGTTGTAATGAATACGAATTCTAGTAAATCACAGTAATTATATCATTAATGAATATAAAATTATAATGAATATAAACACAGAATAAGCAGAAGTTGTAGTGAATACGAATTTTAGTAAATAGAAATTATATCTAATAAACAGAAATTATATCAATGTATGTGAATACAATTTTTTGATTATTAATCTTTAATACTAATAAACAGAAATATAATGAAAGTAAACATAGTTTTTAAATGTAATTATTAATGCAAGCAAAAATTATAATAAATAAACACAAACTTTAAATTTAATTATTATCATGTAGTTCTCGTGGTAGTTTATTCATTGTGCCACTGTCTGCTAAAATCAATTTAAAAAAATAATGTCATTAATGTTATTGTATTTATAAAATAAAGAATTTTTTAAATATTTTGTAATGAACAATTTTTATTACCTTCTTGGTCTTGCTCGTCTGCCCCAATTATAGTGAGCAGACGATAGTTGGTAGAGGAATCTCATAAATCTCTCCTGCTGCCTGCTCCTGCTGCTGTTCCTCTTGATCTTTGAACTAGAGATAAGATATGAAAAGATATGAAAAACATAAAAAGTATGAAAATAATAACTAAGATAAATGGATAAACTAAAATATAATTAAAATATTACCTCGTTCATTTTCATAATTAGCGGGATCAGGATTATCGAGATTAGTCACAATAATATTAGCGGCAGCATTGCCAGAGTCAGTGATGGGAGCAGCAGCGGATTTTACAACGGAATTAATGCTGGCGTTGGTACCAGCAGCAACAGGTTTGGCGATAGAACCAACGGCGACGGGTTTGGTAACAGAACCAACGGCGACGGATTTGGTAACAGAACCAACGGCGACGGGTTTGGCGGTAGAATTAGTAGCTACTCTATGGACGCGTTCAGCAGCAATGGGTTTGACGACGGAGGCAGCTGCGGCAGAATTAGATGTGCATCCAACGATAGAATTATCTGCGAGACCAGCGGAAGTGGCGGGACCGGCTATTGAATTACAATCCATTTCTTTTCCGAACGAGAACTCATTCAGAAAATCGTCAACTTCTATGATCATCTAAAATTTTAAATTAAATGAATATATTTAAAATGAAATGAATATTATATAAAAAATTATATAAATTGTTGAATAAATAAAAAAATATTAAGGATGATATCATAATACTTACTTCTTTCTCTGCGGCCATGTTTGATTATCGATTGAATCATCGATTGAAAATTTTTATAGATATGTAACTTTTAAATTAATAAAAAAGAAACTTGTTTTTTATTGGTTGTAATCATTTATAGGTAGCGCCATATTGCTTTGAGAACAATTAATAATGTTATTATTGGTCAATCATAGCTATTCTGAAGAATAGAATGGTTGCAATTGGTGAATGATGTTATTAATTGTTTTTAGATAAAAACTTGCTTCAGTCGAGAAACGTTACATGGTTAATGTACTGCACGGAGTTACAATTGTTAGTTACGGTTATAAACGTGCTTCACATACGTGCTTCACGTATATTAATTAACAACGATTCTGAGCAATAGGTAAATAGCATTTATTATGCGCTTGGCAATAAGAATGCCTTAACACACAAATTTATGCACATATCGGAACATATGTATGTTCTATGTACATATGTGAAAAATATATAAATTCGTGTATTAAGGCACTTGTTGAGCATATGCACATCACAATTTTATCTTATTATAGTAGCCGTTATTATTGCAGCTATTACAAAGATAGAAACTATCACTGGCTGTCGACAGTAGTAAAAAATATCCATTTGTTTGATATTGTATAAAAAAGGTGTATATATATATATATATAAATATTGAATTAAATGTATTTATATGTAATATCATAGATTACAAAATTAATAATGAACAATTTCTTTATTTGCAGGTGTCGTTAAATATTGAATTACTTATTATAGCGGCTGCTCTCTGGCGCTGGATTTCGGCTGCCATAAGCGCTGCACTAAAAAATCGGCTGCTATAAGTGCTGAATAAAAGACTCAGCTACATGAGCACTAAGCCTTATCTTTACAATTAAAGTCTTATCTTAAGTCTTGTCTTAATTGACAAGAATTGTTCACTATATAAGCACCGATTAAAAGATTTTTCTGCTTTCAAAGTATTAAATAGTAATAGTAATAAATAAATAATTAAATTTTTATTGTTAGTAATAAATAAATAATTAAATTTTTATTGTATAATTTTTTGTGTGTCCATTTATTATGTCTGCCAATAAAGTAAATGATAATAATCGATCCCTGAATGCTTACATGATGCAGATAATATTTGAAGATAAATAGTTAGAAGATATTCACATTGATCATTTTGGATTATTATTAAAATCTTGTTCAGAGTACTTGTTTCGACCACGTAAAACGTGGAGAATACAATGTCCTGACACGATCGAATCTGTTTGTAAAGATCAGAAACATATTCAAATATTACATAGCTGTAGCGATATAATTACTAATAAAAATGGACATTGGGTTTGTAGCTATTATGATACTAAAACTATTTATATTTATGATTCATTGAACTTAAAACGTTTGCATGCACATCATAAGATATATCTTGACAAGTTATATCCATTTTATCCTTTTAATAAAAAACCAGTACGATTTCCAACAGTTCAAAATCAATCTAATGCTTACGATTGTGGTGTTTTTGCAATTGCATTTGCAGTATCACTTTTATTTGGCCTTCGACCAGATACAGTTATGTATGATTACACTTTGATGCGTCAACATTTGGCATACATGTTTAAATCAGAAAAAATAGAACATTTTCCTCGAATTATAAGACCTAATGATCCAAAAAAATTATTTAGTTTGGATGAAATACAAAAA